CATGATGGATACGCCATTGCAATTAAACAGCAACAATGTTAATATTCATTCATTATCCTTCTTTGCTGACTACCAAACTCTCTTTCTGACATAAATTGCGCTTGTCGATAAAGGAAATAAACTTGTAAAATATCTGCCATTTTAATAAACTAGAGACACCCTTATTCAAACGGATGATCAAGCAAGCGACGAATACATTTAGGCAGTGCATACAGATTTCATAATCCTGGAAATATATTTATAGTATCAATTAATGGAGTATATCTTATGACAAAACAACCAAGATAAGAGAAAGCAACTGGCATGATTGGCGAACCTCCGCTCGTGACAGCGGCACCCTGTCCATTTGATCGCCGCCCAGCAGCAAGCTTGGATCGGGCGTGGGAAATGAGAGGCGCGGCCGCTATCACTAGCGCTCACTTCATCATCACTGCTGTAGATGATAGACCTATTTCTGTTTTCTTTTCTTTGTCTTACGCCGAGATGCACCGAGATGATTGACGCATTCAAATCCCAGACTCGATAGCAGACGCAAGTTTACTATGGGTTACCAAGACCCTCACAATCTAGAACACCGGCTGAATGCGCTTTAATCTTCATTTTTATTTGTAATAAACTCCTCTCCGAGACCTCACGACACACCCTCTGTTGTTTTCTTTGTTTAATCAGTCACATAATTGTAACTGTAGGTGCACTTTATTTCATTTAAACCTCCTCACCTGTAAATTTAAAATTAATCCCTAATTGAGATTTAAATCTGAGTTTAAAGTTATGGAGCAACAGGATTAAAGTTAATCTATTTTAAATATAAATTAAATCCAGGATCAAGATGATGGTTTAAATGTAAACCTGCTTATTTTTAAACAAGGTTTAAAGTTTGGTGCAACAGAATTACTAGATAAACCTTGATTTAATCTAGATTTAAGATTAATCCTTATTGGTGCAACCCACCCTGAAACTAACAAGATGTAGGAAAAATGTTATGAATAGTAACAGAGTGCAAGATGTGCTCACTGGCGCTACAAATACAAACCTGCATACAAAAAAACAAACAAAAAAAAAAACTCATTCTCAATGAAATTCAGCATTTTCTTCTAGGGACAGTAGACCAAAAAAATTAAAATGGTCTCACTGGCTCAACCTTTTGTTGTTTTTAAATGTTGTTGTTTTCTTTCCCTTACAAAATGTGTACAAAATTCCATTCCTCACACAAAGGTATATATGTTTTTAGAAGACTTGGGGTGCATAAGTCATACAGATCACTTTTATGGTGCTTTATTGTCAGTTTTGGAGCTCGACATCTCCAGTCCTCATCCACTTCCATTGTTTGGAAAAGACCAACTGCTACATAACTTATGTTCCACTGTGTAATTACTTTGTAAGGACCACGCACTTGGCCCAAGGAAGGTATCCAGTGGTGGCTGAAGGTTTCTTGCGTGTTCGGTCTTTTCAGCACGCAAAGTTATTTAATTTAATTTAAATTGTAATCTAACTCTTTTATTATCTAATCTGACTCCATTTTATTATGACCTCGCATTTGAGTTAGAATGCCAATTATTATTGATCATTTATAGGGTAATTTATCAAAACATCTGATTATTCTATTTATTCTTTAATCTTATTGTACTCGTTCATTCGGGTGCTCGTGTCACTAAAAAGATATCGCTTCGTCCGTTAGCGTATCTTACGATCACATTCTCGTCAGTCTTGGTTATTAGACAGAGGTAATTGGCTAATACTTTAGACGGCCGCTCCTATGCTTGCTCATTCTAAAAGTACTTTTATTTAGCCCCCATAGATTTGTATACACTTGAATTAAGCAACATTATTTCTAGTCAGAGGTCACGACCACTACTATAGATATAAACCAACCAACTAGGGCTGGGCGATATGACGATATTATCGTATATCGACGATGTCTCGTAAGTATAAGTAAGTCAGGTAACAGACGTTTATGGACATTATCGGAACAAAAAATGACAAATGATAAACCTAGTACATTGCAAAAAATATTTTACATAGCCCCATAGTAACCATACAGGTCTTTTTGCATGCAAGAATTAAATAATTTAGAAGGAGGGTTAGGAATCGAAAAGCTATTCCAATTTTGGAAATCAGATTAGATGCATAAGGTCAGGAATCAAATTACTTGTTATAAAATTACACTTTGATTCAGCTTCTCGATTCCTGTATGCGCTTTTATTGTGATTTCAAAAGATTCAACTGCAAGACGAAATAGAACTCGCTTCTGCACTCGCGCGCTCTTTTCTGTGCTGCACACACACACACACACACACACACACACAAAACGCACGCAAGACTGTATAATGATGAAAAACCACAAACATGAGTTATAATTAAAATTTGGGTAGACGATATTATCAGATATCGCGGTATTTTTAAGGCGATTATAGATACGATATTTTTGACATATCGCCCATCCCTACGACCAACATTACTTTCCCTGATAGTAGCTTTGGTATGGTCATGCCATGGTTTCCCATGTGCACTTAGCTAGAGTAACATTACAATAAACAGAGGTCATGGCTCACCCTATTTAGGTTGGTCGAACAACATCCAGTTGACCTAAACGGAAATTCCCTATAAGCCCTTACAATCTAAGTACACTTGAACTAATACCAAGTGTTAGCCGGATCTCTAAAGATACAGTTGGTGTGCCCTATGCTCCATCTCAACTGAATTTTAGCCCGTTACTAACCTGATGCAGGAAATACGGTAACAAGGATACAACATAATCTACTAGAGTCAATAATTATAGAGTAAAACAGAATAAAATCAAATGTAACAATTTATTATCAGTCAGGTAAATATGTATTATGCCAATTACACAGCCAATTCAAAGATATCAAATCAATACAAAACATCACATTCTCAAAGATGAATCTAAGAGTAAGATGCATACCTGACTTTTAGAAAAATACATAGTATGAAGTGTGTGGCTCATTCTGACTGCAGAATCGCCCTGATCTTAAGATACCTTAAGACCAAGACAATCATCCCCCGAAATTGAGACAGAAATTAACAATTTAAATTTGCATTGATCAAGTAGAGTTAACACCTTTTGGGACAAAGTAATTTGCATGAAAGACACTGGGAAACGGCACACCCTCTATAGTGAGCCAAATCACTTTCACAGACTTTTTCATTAACTGTTCCCTCCTGGTGGAATGACCTGCCCAACTCAATCCGAGCAGCTGAGTCCTTAGCCATATTCAAGTATTGGCTAAAAACACATTGTTTCCATCTTTATTTGGCCCTCTAACTCTAGCACTCTCTATTCTAATTCTATTATTTAAAAAAAAAATGCCCCTTTTAGACTTGCACACTATTCATTTACTAACAGCTTCTTTTCTTAAAGGGGTCATATGATGCTATTTTAAAGATCATTATTTTGTGTATTTGTTGTAACAGAATATGTTGACATGCTTTAATGTTCAAAAAACACATTATTTTTCAAATACTGTACATTATTGTGGGTCCCCTATGCCCCGCCTCTCTCAAACGCTTCGTTTTCTACAAAGTCCCTCCTTCCGACAAGCGCAGTCTGCTCTGATTAGCCAGCTGACCCAGTGCATTGTGATTGGCCGAACACCGCAAGCACTCGTCGGAAATGTAACGCCCCTTACCATAAT